ACACCGTTAATGGTGCTGATAAAATAAAATTCTATAATTCCCCAATATCAAGAAGGTTGAGATTTCTGATAATATTTTTAATAATAAAGTTCTCAAGGAGGATGTGTCTTCAGACCAATAGAATTCATTTTCTCGGGGGTATAAATTGAAAAGATAATTTTAAATAAAATAAAATTGAAAAGATAATTTTAAAATGAATAAAAACATACCAACAAATTGATAACTTCGCTTCTTTCATGATAAACTTTCATTAATAATTTTGTGCAATCAATTATAATTTTCGAATCCGGAAATGTGGGACATTTACTGTGTCCTCGCTGGGGTTCGACCTTCGTAGACCTTCTATTGACTAGCTGGACGTGCTACTATTTACATCACGAGAATACACCCATTAATAACGTATCGGAGGGATAGGATGATTCTCTGCATTCTTCCCATTTAAAGACCAATTGTAGAGAGGCACGAAAACCCCTCCACTAAACCCAGCTGGTAGTGATTTATCGTCCATCACATTTTAATCTGGTAATTAGAGTAGCAACTATTAGAATTTTTTCTGAGTGAAAAAATGTGAAAAAATTCAGCTTTATATTCGTCGCGATGCGAACCATGTATTTCCTAAGCTAGTTGGCTGGCCTATCCTTAAGAGCACGTACAAATAACATGCACCTTTATAGCAATTACAGAAGATAGAATATTTCCTAACAATTTCATAAAAATTCATAAGTTAAAATAAACAATAAATTTCGATATAAAACAGATTCCTAAGCGTTATCGAAACCATACTTAAAAACGGGAATCTTGTTATTCTACAGTTTGTAGAATTTTAAGCCAAAGCAAGCAGTTTGAGAAAAACAAGTCAAATTGCTAAAAATTGCTTTCGAAAAGCGCTTAATCTTCGTAATACATTGCTCGAGTACTTTTAATGTAAAATACTATAAAAATGTCTGTTGAAAATATTTTTCGCGCTGATAAAAATCGCCTAAATTATTTTCCTTGCACTCTCATTAAATTTTTCTCCTCGTTGAGAAAGTGTGATAGAGTAAAAGGTCAAAAGTTCTTTTATCAGCAGACATCATTAGAGAGGGCAAACATGTAACAGAAGAACAAAAAGCCATGTTTATGGAACAAAATGAATAAAGACCATGTAATAACGGGAACTGCAATTAAAAATCTTAAATTAAAATTGACATTTTTTCGTGAACGTTAGAGTCTGCAAAGAAATATAATTCTCCTATAAAAGAAACTTTATTGATAATTTAGGTAGAATAGAAAGTGATTACTACCGAGCGAATAAAGAAAAAAGTAATAAATTAGATATTATCCCCCCCCCGGAAAAAAAACTAAATGACAAATATTAGTTAAAAGAAAACCGCCCCGACTGGTATAGCGGCTGCTGAATCTTTCGTTGGATTCGGATTCGGATTCGAATCCTGAAATGGCATGGATGTCTGTAAATGTACAGTGTTTGTGCGGTATGAGTGCACTAAAACCACAGAGGGATAGGAGACTTTTGGATCTGTCGCCCAAAGTCCGAGTGTCATCAAAGTTGGAGTGGAGTTGAGCGAAGTCGTACTGTCACTTTTATGCTGTTGAAGACACACTCCAAGAACTAACGCAGTCATGTCCTTCTTGAAACAATAAAATTCATTGACTTGTTCTGATTTGGTCACACGTGAGATAAGTCACGACACATAAACCAAAGAAAACAGAGTACTACCGAGAAGTTCAAAAATAAATCAACAACACAATTCAGTTTTCTTTCCATTATCAACGGTTATAGGAGTTAAAAGTTCTGATGATATCAATGGTTATACGACACTAGGTTATGATGATATCAATGGTTATAGGACACTATGGATAATATCAATGGTTGTAGGACACTAAGTTATGATGATATCAATGGTTACAAGATACTAAGTTATGATGATATCAGTGGTTATAGGATCTAAGTTCTTGCTGGAATTCCGATTATGATTTCGGAATTGAATATAGTAATAATACTGCTGCGCCCGTGCGGATTCGTACTGGATTAAATGCACAAAGAACCGATCACAGGTTGATAAAAAAAATTTACCAAAAGAAACACTTTACAGTTCTGGAACTTTCCGCAAAAATACTCTTGCAGCTCTTCACAGTATCACAGAATAAAAGCAGTAGTTATACTTCAAACTACTAAGAACGTTAAACACAGCATAATGCAAAGCGCATCTAAAAGGCGAAGCTCTGACGGAAATCTCTCCATACTCCTAACTCAAAGCTGGACTAAAAAAATCAGAACTGTTGATCTCTCCGGGCTTTTTCCCCCGGCAGACGAGAAATCTTTAAATTTCTCGAAATTACTTCCATTAGAGTTACATATAAGGGTCGGATACGTTTAGAGTCATACATAGGGATAAATTACAGTTATACGTGGACCAATTACAGTATCAAACCGTCGCTGGATGGTATCCAATTTTAGCGACTTTTTGCAATTTCTCACCAATTTTGCGATAAAAATTAATCGCCAAAACGATCGCCAGCCAAAACGATCGCCAAAAAGATCGCCAGTGTGATAGCCATTTATCTCAACATGAAAAAGAGGTATGGGGCCCTTTAGAAGTCCAGATATTATATGTCAGTGCCAAATATGATTTTCGGATATCTAGAGAGTTTTTTGGGGGACCTCCAAGAAAGCGGGGCCCTAGGCTATAGCTTGTGTAGCTTATACATAAATCCTACATTGGTTCAACCTAAGGTCAAGTAACTCACGTAAACGCACCTCAAGATACGGAACGTTTAATTTTCTTTTGCGCTACTTTTGGCAGCCCTAGATTATGCCTATAGACTGCCCCTCTAATAATAATGCCCTAGATTATGCCTGCCTGTAAAAACGTTAGGTGTGACTTGGCAAGTGGACTCAAGTCTAGGTTACTATTCTTTGACGTTATCAATGCATGTAACGTTTAATTACTATGCTTTTGCATAGCTGCCAACTATGAAATACGAAAAACCGGTAGGTTCTCGCGCCATAACGCGGATGTTTCGAAGTTCGGCACTGTGAGGCGACGATACTTCCAAAGAATTCCAAAATAACTTAAGATTGCTTCATAATGCATAAATAAAATTACTCAGCTGATTATAATAATGTTAAATAAATTAATATTTAATGAGATATTCTAAATATTATTTATTGGACACTCTAAATAATTTTTTTTATTAGCTAATTTTACTTATTAATTTTCTTTTCAGTTTTTACTAGAGTCCCGAGCAAGGAAGGAAGCTATTTGCTAAAGTACTATTAAACACAATGAAATGAAATCTACAAATTAAAACCGTTCTATTGTTATTAATATAATTATAATTAAAATATAAAATTTACAACGTACCGTGTTTAATAACACTCCAAATAACGATTATTGGAGGAGTCAAATTGGCTTTTCCAAAAATCGTTATTCGGAATTAAGTATAATATTTAAATTTTATACTTAAATTAAGTATAAATATTAATTAAATATAAATAAAATCTACAAATTAAAACCATTCTATTGTATGTATACACTTTGCAACGTACCGTATTTTAGCACGTACCGTATTTAATAACGTATATATATTAATATGATTAATAATATTAATGTAATTAATAATATTTTAAGTCAAATTGGCTTCTCCAAACGTAACGTACATTGATATAAAACAAACAATTAAGTACAACTATTAGCTGGTAAAATTTTAGTTGAATTTTATATAGTTTTCCAAATGTCTGCAGAATATTAAGACAACTCAGATCAAAATTTACTAAGAAAAATGGTACAGAAAATAATTAGAGGATGGAAAAGAAATGTGTAGTTACACTTTTATTAATTCAATAAACTTCAGCTACACCTAAAAAAACACATTTTACGTATAGTAAGGGTTAAAAATTAGACACCGAGAGATTCAATGATTTACCGAGACACCACGACATGTGAAAGCAGAGCTTCCAACCCATCCAATAAAAGCGGAAATGTTCTCAACTCTGATTTTGTAAGTCACGTATTGTACATTTGTGATAAATAGGGTTTTGTATGTACCCAAATAGAAAAATCTTATGTGACTTATCATGACTTTCTTATACGATTTATTAAATTATTCACATTTTTGCTGCACTTGATTTAAACTTTTTCCTCGAAATATTTTATCTTAATCAACCGACCCATCGGGGGAAGTTGAAAATGACATTAAAAATTGCAAATCTTTGCAATCAAATATACCAGTCAATTTTTGTCTTACGAAGTACATTATTACGACCAATGATAGCGAAAATAAATGCCGCGTAAAAACTGTTAAGCCAAGAAACAGGACTCGAATTTTTTTGCGATTATACTACTTCTTTTACTTCGTACAAGAAAGTAAAAGTCTTAAGCACCTATACAGAAGCTTTTATCATTGCAGTTAAAATGTAGTTCAGTGTATATTTTCTCCCAGGATTTAAAATAAACAGAATTTAAAACACAAACTCTGAAGGCGTTGAAAATAGAAGATAACTATTTCAAACTATCAAACTTCAGAGCTCAAAATAAAAGCGTGATAGGCAATTTTCTGAGATTCTCTCTTGTTTATTATTATACGCAGTCTCAGATTCCACTAAATTAATAAAAATTCTAAAAACGACAAATTAAATATTACTTATTTATGTTATTCTTCTACTACGTATTAAATTTCTAAAAAATTCTAAAACCAAATATTATATATCTAATAATCCAACTAGAAAAGTTTCAAAGTCTCATGAAGAAGCAACTTCATTTGCCGTGCGAATTTCTGAAACATTTTTGTGTGAATTTTAGAAGATTTTCTAGGATTTCGCGAATGCAAAGTTTTTCGGTGAATGTTAAATAAATCTGGGAGTTTAGATTTCTTCTTAATATTTTCTAATCTCTATTATAAATTTACATTATTTTATACTTAAATAATGTTTTTGATATTTCCTGTTTGATGTTTTGCAAAAACACACTGTAGAATAATCCTGTTCAGAATCTACGAGAATGAATTCCGACTTATCTAAGTTTTACCTAGTTTCTTCATCATCATCATTCTCAACCTTGCTTTTCATCATAATTACCTTTATTCTCTCCTTCCTTCTCCTCATTCCAATCCTCATCCTTATTTTTCTCATTTTTTCTAATTATTCTCTTTATTGTCATCCTCTACCACCTTCTTATCCTCCTCATATTAATCGTCATTCTCATAATCCTCACCCTCATACTCATCTTCACTATCATTTTCATTATCCTTATCTTCGTCATCATACTTCTACTCATCATAATTCTCACCCTTATCATCATTCTTCTTGTCCTTCACTTCATTCACCTCATCTTCCACTTTATCCTTTCCCATCCTATCATCCTTTTTCTCTTCTCACTCCTCCTCATCCAACTCATTCTCCTCCTCCTTAACACCATCAACATCACCATCTTCTATTCGACACCCTCTTACTCATCCTCAATCTCATGTTCTTCATTCTCTTCCACCGCAACTTCATCCTACTAATCATTCTCATCTTCATCTTAATCCTCAAAGTCCTCCTCCTTCTTATCCTTCTACTGTTCATTTCTGCCCTAATCCCCGCTCATATAATTCATCTCATCCTTCTCATCATCTTTCTCATAATAATCATCAACCTCTTCAAACTCATCCATCTCCCCCTCATTATAATCTTTATTCTCACTTCCTATCCTCATCCTGATCCTTATTCGCCTCATATTCCTACACCTCTTCATCATCCTCATCTTTTTCATTCTCATTCTCACCTAGCTCTTCTTCAAACTAATCCTCATCAACATTCTAAACATCCTTATATTCATTCTAATCTTGATCATCATTCTAAACATTTTTATCTTCCTCATCACAATCCTCCTCCTAATTTGCATCTTTATATTCATCTTCATTATCATTTTGGTCATTTTCATCATAGTCTTCCCGATCATCATCATTCTCAACAATTCAATCTCAATCTCATTTCATTATCCTTTTCATCCGCATACTCATTATCATCCTCCTTTCGCCTTCATAGTCATTCTTATCCTCATCATCATTCTCATCAGCATTATAATCAATTTCATCCTTATTTTCATCCTCCTCACCAGTGGCGGCTCGTAATAAGCACTGTGGAACTGCAGCACCCCCTATTTCCACTTATTATTATTTTTAATATTTAATATAGTGTGCCCTTTAGTCTTTAATTCTTTCTTTATACCTTTACAATGTATAATCCTTAAATACAGTTGCCATCCCCCGCTTTGTGAAAGAGGTACGAAAGTCTTTATTTGGAACTGCGCGCTTCACAGAAAGCAGAGCCGGGTAGAGAGAGGAGCACTGTCACTCTTGCAGTGCCGAAATTCTGGCATGTTGCTGAAAAACGTGATTTCTTTTTACTCCGTGCGTGTGGTATTCCTCCACAAGGTGGAACTTCATCATACGGATCATAAACAGAGTTCATGAAAATTTGCAACTTTTAAAAAACTGCCTTACTGAAATTCAGTCAATATCAAATGCAGATCAAACTATTGCAAAAGCAATAGGAATTTTAAAATATCTAAATGATGATAATTTCAAGTTTTGGTTAGAGTTTTTTATCAAGGTGCCTCATGTTGAAATAATATACAACTAAATGCAATCCAGAGAAATTAGTGTGTTTAAAGTTAATGAATATATAACAAATTTCAAAACTGCTATTTTAGAATTAAGAAACTCAAAAGTACTGTGATAATTTTTCAAAGACGCTGATGGCAGAAGCTAAGGAAATATGTGACTTTATACTAGGTATTGATATAATGCACAGATATTCTTCAACTAAACACTTGGCAGCTGCTAAATTGTTTAACAAGAAATGCTTAGTTTTAGGAATGAACATTGTACAGAAGAAATAGTACTGACCATTGAAGCATATCCAATGATTGACAAAGAAAAGCTTGAAACTGAACTTAAAGTATTCTATTGTAGGTCTGATATCCATGAATACTTCAAATTAATTGAGCACTGAAATTTATCTTCGAAAATAATCTAGATGATGTTCTTAGTGAAATTACGAAACTGATAAAAATTCTCTTGAGAATTCCCATGACTACATCAGAGGCAGAACGTTGCTTTTCAACGTTGAAAAGAATGAAAAACTTTTCTAAGAAACACAGATCAAGCAGAAAATTATTGATCTTTTTGCTGAAATTAAAACAAGAATAGATTTCATTTTTAAATGAACAAAGAATAGACAACTGTAGCAATTTTGGTTAAAGTAATTAAGAAATGCTTAATTTTTTTCTTGTAATATTTCATGAAGTTTCAAAATAAATTTTCTTTTTATACATGTTTGTTTCCTTTTACACAATTTTAAAAAAAGGTTAAATTTTTTTGGAACAGCACCCCCAATAATTTTAGCCACGAGCCGCCACTGCTCCTCCCTATCTTCCTCTCGTCATGATCATCCTCATTCTCGTCTGTAACCTCCTAATCCTCATCCTCATCAACATCATCATCCTCTTCATCATTATCAAATACGTTCCTCATTTTCATCCTTGTCATTCTGCGAGTAAACATCATTTCTCAAACATTTCGAAAGCTGTCAGCACGGCTTTTTGTCAATTTCGACAACAATTTCAATGCTCAAAAATCTTTTTTTAAATGGGCCATGTAATAAAGGAAATATATGTATGTACAATATACAATATAAAAGTACCTCTTCATCATCCTTCATAGTCCTCTTCATAGTCCAAATTAAATGACAATCTTTTGATGTAAAACGACAGTTTTGTTAATGCCTATAGGATAAGTTTGAAATTGTGCATTTCAACTGAAAAATGTTTAACGTAAGTTTTAATATACAAGTTACTTGCATTTCTGCTTGCTAACATGTTCTTGAAATTTTCAAAAAAGAAACGAAAGTTTTAGCAAAATTGTACGTATAATTTGCCATTCGTGAAAGCTTCGCAAAGTTTTACTATTTATTCAAACATCACTTGGCGAATTTTCTGTTTTCCCTCCACAAAATTATTTTCCTAATTATACAAAATTATTTTCCTAATTATACAAAATTATTTTCCTAATTATACCTGATAAAAAGCTTTTAAATATCGCAGCAGTTTAATTCCTCGTAAAGCTGAGCGAATTCCATTAAAGTTGCTGAATCGGAAGTTAAGGAATACTTTTTTTAATATTTTTTCCATGCTGCAGATTAATGGAACACAGCCACCAAATTTCCTTTCCTAAAACCTTAGAAATATTTGATTAATTACGAACACTCTTGGAAAAGACAGCTAAGGAGCTAAGAGGTTTTTGGTCTAAGTGAAATTAGTTTTTTTAATTTACTAAGAGTATTATGAACGTTTCGATAAGTACATTTTTTACCTCTGGGTAAACAAAACTGAATTTTGTTAATAATAAAACGTTTTCTAGCTTCTCTAATAGAAAAAGAAAAAAAACAATTTATATATATATATACTATATATAATGAAAGGAAAAGTGAATTCATAAATGCTTTATGTATGTTATTCTGCAAATGAAAGAAATCAAAGACACTGATGTAAATGATAGATATGTAATACGGTATTTCTTCCACCTCCTTGGCATGCCTTCGTGGTGTGGGGATCTGTACGCTGGGCGCGTATTCCAGAGGCCCCCGGTTCGATTCCCGGGGAAGATGTTGCATATTTTTCATCTTGCCCGCTTCTAAAAAAAATACTCATCTTCATCATTCTCATCTTCATCTTAATCCATCATCATTCTCATCTTCATCTTAATCATCAATCATTCTCATCTTTTTAGTTCAGGTGCCACCGTAATGACTCTACGGTGGCACCCGAACTAAAAAGGTGTTGGATGATGATTCTCCACACCCAGGATTTGACGAGTGGGTCCCCTAAAACACCAGTCGCCTTTTTAAATGAGGAGTAAATAAGGTGTTTCTCCCGCCTTTGTGGCATGCCTTCGTGATGTGGTGGTCTGCACTCTGGGCGCGTATTCCAGAGTCCGCGGTTCGATTTCCGGCAAAGGCGTTGCATATTTTTCATACTGCCTGCTTCCAAAAAAAGTTAATTAATGAATCTACAGTGGTGCCCGAACTAAAAGGGTGTTGGATGATGATTCTCCACACCCAGGATATGACGATTGGGTCCCCTAAATCCCCAGTCGTCCTTTAAAATGGGGAGTATATAACGTATTTCTCCCGCCTTCTTGGCATGCTTTCGTGGTGTGATGGTCTGCACGCTGGGTGCGCATGCCAGAGGTCCGTGGTTCGATTCCCGGCGAAGATGTTGCTGATTTTTCAATCTCTCTTACTTCCAAAAAAAATCTAATGACTCTACAGTGTAAGAAAATGAACCAAGTCGTAGTATGAGATAATTTAAGTAGAAAGAATAACATAAAAATATACTTAATGAATAACAAACATTGTTGAATAGAATAAAGGGAGAAACTGAAAAGAGAAAAAGGGAAATTATTTCCAAAAGCTGAAATGCTAGAGCCAAATAAGTTCTTTCTGCTTTCTGAGCAATCTCTAATTCTCCTTCTACATACATTTTTAAGACATCCAACACTGAAAGTTACCGTACTGGATGGGTACTGAACACCACAAATAGTCATGTTTTCTAAGTCATCTTTCCGTTCAGATGAACCGTTGCTGGTCGTCTAAGAGAGATTTCGTTCTATTCAGACGAATTCGAAGGAAAACAGCATAGCTAAGCTTTATATTGATTTAGCAAAAGTGCTTGATAAATTAACAGCTGTTGGTTGAAACGAATATCGAAAATGGTGTACCTGAATCGATACCATCAGGAAATTAGAAAATCCTTTATTTTAATAAATGGCATTCATTAACATCAAGGCTTTTGTTAAATTCAGTTGCGTGATGTCTGAATTGCTAATTATTGTTATAAGCAGAATCATAGAGAAAACTCTATAAAATAAAGAAGCTAGAATCATGAAATTTTGAAACAATACTAATGAATCTTTATTCTTTAATCGATAGTGAGTTACTATAGGCTAAATCTACAACAGATAGCCCAGTTGTTTGAGAGAACCTTAGAGGTGAATATAATTATGGTCTTAAAATTCAACGCAAAAATTTCCCGAAATAAAAAATAGATAAAAAGTGCTTAAGCAGATAAATTTTTAATTATTTAAGATAAAGGGAAAATTGATGAAACTGTCATGTTAAAAATCAAGAAGATTCGAAAACTCATCAGAATACTATATACCAGAAGTGATCAAGCTGCCATTACTGAAATCGATTTTTACATAAAAAACTAACTCACGAACCACCTGTTCTCATGGTCTTGCTTGTGATAGCAATAATTTACAATCCAGACGTCTTAATATCAGTCTTACGTTAATTTATGCTGTTTATGAAAATGCAGCATTTGCTATCAAAATATACTGTTCCGATGACATTCATTATTTCCTATCA